AATAATACAAATAATTAAAGCAATAAAAAAAATCACTTCCTTTGAGTTTGATTGATCAATCTTCAAACTTCCACATCAAAGATGCTTCTAAATACTTAAAATCGTCTAAAAACCTAATAACTTTGTAAAACATTAAAAAGTAAATATAATACCAATGGGTGATGTTTTGATCAATTTTTGTTAACTTTGAGTAACGATTCGATCATAAAAAATTCACTACAATCTAGTTTTTTGGGGGGCTTTGTCTCTTTAAATTTGGCTCTAACAAGTTTTAGGTTTCAAGTGAACCTAAAACCCTAATTTTTGGTCCTTTAAAAAAAAAAGGACGAAAAAATTCCATCACCAAATGGTTTTTCCGCTCCTAGGCTGGTGGCCGCCTAGGCGGCCACCCAAGGATTGACCGCTCAGATAGGCCGCCTAGGCTTGGGCGATGCGCCCAGGCCTTCTGGACCGCCTAGGAGCTGGGCAATCAGCTTTTTGAATCACTGTGCCCAAATATCCTCAAATTAATCATCTTGGCACCTGGACATGAGAAAAAAATGGATTTCAAGTTTTCGAAATAGTACATCTTGTAAAATAATTTTGGACCATCAATTTTCAAGATTTTCAAGATTTCATAGATATGCTTTATCTACACTATTTTTGAAGCTTTAAATTTTATAATTAAAGATGAAAATATATTTTAATGGTATCATTGAGATTTCCATTATTGAAATCACATTTCTTGGCACTATTTGAAGGTGGGTTTTACATTGATTGTTTAGAGCCTCAGCTCTATACAAACAACACTTTTTTACAAAACGAGAAAGTTTATATGGAGCCGAGGCTCTAAACAATCAAATTAGAGCCCACCTCAAAAATTTCACTAAAAGAGGTTGTTTTGATGCCCAAATATCCTCAAATCGATCCTCTCGACATCAAGATGCATGGACGTTAGAAAAAAAAAGGATTTCGAGTTTTGAAAATAGTGCATCGTGTAACGCATTTTTGGACCATCAATTTTCAAGATTTCCAAGTTTTCATAGATCTGCTCAATCTAGACTGTTTTAGAAGCTTTAAATTTTATAATTAAAAATAAAAATATATTTTAAGGCTATCACAAGGATTTTCAATATTAAAACCACATTTCTTAATACTATTTGAAGGGGCGCTCTACGTTGATTGTTCAGAGCCTCGGCTCTATACAAACTGAACTGTTTACAACAAGTTTTAGAAATTTAAAAAATTAAATATTCGTGCTTATTAAGATGAAATCGATCCCTGGAAAATTTCAAATAAACCCAAATGATAATTTGGCCTGAAAATCAAATGGGAAACTTACAGCAGTGAGATTTGTGGATAATAATTTGGGAGAATTATATTTTTCCGAAGGAGAGAGATATCAATGACACATTTTTGGATCCTCAATTTTCAATATTTTCAAGTTTTCATATATCTATTCGATTAACACTATTTTTAAAGCTTTAAATTTTATAATTAAAAATAAAAGTATGTTTTAAGGCCATCACAAAGATTTCCAGTATTAAAACCACATTTTTCAACACTATTTGAAGGTGCCGTCTACTAACTGGCACCCTTTACAAAAAGTTAAAATGGGAAGTAGAAATTTATAAAAATTAAATATTCACTTTACAAAAAGTTCAAATAGGGAGTAGAAATTTAAAAAATTAAATATTCGTTCTTATTAAGATGAAATTGATCCCTAAAAAATTTCAAATAAACCCAAATGAGAATTTAGCCTGAAAATCAAATGGGAAACTTACAGCAGTTAGATTTGTGGATAACAATTTGGGAAAATTATTTTTTTCAAAGGAGGGAAATATCATAACAATGGCGTATAAGTTATTTTACGCAATGATCGAAGTTTTATCAAGGACCAACAATAGGCACAAAAGAAAAAATATCAAAGTATAAAAAAACAAAAGGGCCCAACCGGGTTCGAACCGGTGACCTCTTGATCTGCAGTCAAATGCTCTACCACTGAGCTATGGACCCAATTGTCGTATGCTGTTTCCGACATTATATAAGTCTCATAAAGTAATTTGACCGTTACCTCCAACGGATGATTAATGAAGGTCAATCAAAGAGAAGCGATACTGAGAGGAGGAATAAGTTCACATCATCCATCATCTCATCATTATCATAACTTTATTCCAACTATTTGGAGTAAGCTACATGAATTTTGTTATGTTGTATTGCTCTATCAAGGGTCGTACCCTCAATCAAACCTATTGGAAAAAGTTTTTTGATGTTAGAAGAACCTCAAATACCTTGCGATCTATGGATATTAAGAAAAAATATTTTAAGCTACAAAAATACTACATCTTGAAACATAGTATCCAGATTCAAGATTTTTAATTGTTTATAAATCTTCTTAGTCTGCACCTTTTAACACTTTAAATTTCATAATTAAGAGTGAAATAGATTTTCATACAATCCAAAGGATGTCTGACCCCAAAACTTCATCTTTCAACATAGTTTTGAAATACACCTTATTTTGAATGGGTGTGGTTTCTATGCATTTATTCTGAGTAATATACAATGGTTTAGAACATAGTAATACATAAAAATATTTTTAACAAAAAGCTTTTTAATTTCTGAGAATTGGCTCCACAAGGAGATGGCCGGGTAGCAACATGACAGATTTCCATTTTCCCATATCCCAAATTAATATTCAAAGAAAAATCTCCGTTCAACTCATTCTTTTGTGGTATACTAGTGGGATTATGTACGTTGCATGTAGAAATGAAATAAACAATCACATAAATAACCTCCTAAAAATCCAATAGAGAGTACATAAGTACGTAACAAGCATTCATGTAAATAATACGTAAAATGTAACGGTAAATTGATATACACAAGCGATCAAGTAACCAATTACATGCTTTTGCAATATTGGAGTTCTTAGATACGTGTGATGAGAATAGAAGACTATCAATTTATTCAAAAATATTCTATGCATTTTTTTATTATTAAAAAAATCAGTGAAAATAAAGAAATATTAAAAAAGATACAAAAAAAAGAAAAAAAGATAAATATGTTTGAGAATATTTTTCACTGGTGGATTATTATGTATCATAATCCATTCTTACCTGGTGTGTGTAGATTTTACAGGTATGTTTTAAGTAAAATTTTAATATATTTTTTGTGTACTTAAACTTGGTAATAAAGAATAATGTTTAACTACCATCTTTAAAAAATACTTTTCAGGTTTTTTAGGAATTGGTTCTCCTTTTGTTATTGGTTTTCCTCATTTCCAAAAATTTTCAAGTACTGTAAAAAAGGATCCAAATCGGATTCTTATTTTTTTGTCGTACCATCTATATCTTATCTTTTGTCCCCAACTTATATATTTCCCCTTCTCTCTTTGATCCTCCTCTACCCTCTCTTCCACTCCTGTTTGACCGCACTCTCTTTGGAAATACGCAATGACATCTCTCTCTCTCTCCTTGCTACTCATCCCTCTCACTCTTGCTCAATATCCCCTATACATACAACATTTGCAATTCGAGAAAATTTGTTAGCTCTTCAAAGTTGGTCTTGAAGTTTAAGTTGTTTCTCTTAATAGGTCAAATATTTTGTTGAAATTTTATGTTATTTTATTTTATTTTTACTGATATTTGAGCACATTCTTCAAACGGGTTGCTTTTGATATAGGTAAAATCTTGCTTTTCTGATCAATATTGAATTATTTTTTTAACTAGAATCTTCAAATAAGAAGTTGATAATGCAGGGTTTTCACTTTGTGGCTTTGATTTTTAATTAGAAATTTTCTGCGAAATCTTGAAGGTATTGAAATTAGAGAATGTCCGATTTTGTAGGTCAAATTTTTGGCTATGAGTAAAAGATGGGCTCTCATGAAACTGCATTTGGGTAGTTTTCAAACCGTCTACAGTTTTCGAGTGGAAATTGGTGGTTACAACTCACTCTATTTCCTGAAACAAACCTCAAGTAAATAGTGCACCATACAATTGTCTAAAGGATTGGAAACCGCAAAGCCATGACCATCCGTACTCAGATTAGAATATTAATCAATGGGTCTACTTAAATCTTGATAAGTTACTGTTCCTAATCTTTGTTTAAACATAAATCAACAGGCCACATGTTCTTTACTTATTCATTATTACTACCATTTTTGTTTTATTTAGTATTTTATTAACCTTAAGCTGAATGACAGGCAGCAACGCGTCTTTGACAAAGGAGACCTCACTGCCAAGCACTTGGAGCTGGGCATGCGAGGGGCATTTAGGAAAGGAAAATGGTTTGATAGGGCTGCAGCCCTCTCAAAATAAATAAAGCCTCACCTCAGAACTCATCAAAATTGCAATTGAAGTGTTGAAAAATTAATCGATCATCTCAGTTTGAACATTATGGTTTTTTTTTTTTTTTAAGAGAATTAAAAATGGTACAGAGAGGGTAAAAAAGCACCACTTACTTTTTTTGAATATATCAACTGTGACCAATTTCCAAAGCCGCCCCTTAATGAAAATAGCCCTTCAACATGTAAATGTGACCCAATTAATGGCCAATGCAATGGGGACAAAAGCAGGAATTGACTTCTTCTACTAATCATTTCATCTTCAACGACCATGTTACCATTTTTTTTAATACTTTTTTACTTAGTTTTTGACCAATGGGAAACTTCCTCCCACGTTTATTTGAAGAAGCTCTAATATTTAATGTTTAAACTCAAAGGAGATTAAAGTCATGCAGACGTAGTCATATGAACAAAAGACATACCTAACCTAACAATTGGTAATAAGGAGACCAATTCATAGTAGAAAAAGGACAAATCCAGTTCACACCAAATAAAAAAATTCCAATGGCAATGCATTGTAAAAATGACATCAAACGCATGTGAAACTATCAAATTACTGTATTGGGGTTTGAAAATAATGTAGAAGAAAACACGGTTTGTCCAGGTTGTATAAATGATAGTATAGTTGCCTTGAGAAGCAGTAGGTGGGGGCCTAACACTATAAAAGGGGCTAGAGAGAGCACTGAAGCACTCAAGAAACACAAAACAAAGAAAGAGAGAGAAGATTAGTTGTGCACTCTTTGAAGCAAAGAGAGTGCTAAAATTGGTGGCGCCACCTTCATGGTGCCCAAAATGGAGAGGCATTTTTTGCCTCAGCTGACCTTTGCGGCCATTGTATGCTTCCTGGCTACAAATGTAGTGGCTGATAAACCGGAGCCATATTACTATTCTTCTCCACCCCCACCTTACCTCTACGAATCACCACCACCACCATCGCCGTCACCACCTCCTCCTTATGTCTACAAGTCTCCACCACCACCTTCACCATCTCCACCTCCTCCATATGTCTACAAGTCCCCACCTCCCCCTTCTCCATCGCCGCCACCTCCATATGTGTACAAGTCTCCACCACCACCTTCACCATCTCCGCCACCTCCTTATGTCTATAAGTCTCCTCCACCACCATCACCATCACCGCCACCTCCGTATATCTACAAGTCGCCGCCGCCACCTTCGTCATCTCCACCTCCTCCTTATGTCTATAAGTCACCACCACCACCTTCACCATCACCCCCACCTCCATATGTCTACAAATCTCCTCCACCACCATCACCATCACCACCACCTCCTTACGTGTACAAGTCACCACCTCCCCCATCGCCTTCACCACCTCCTCCATATGTCTACAAGTCTCCACCCCACCTTCACCATCACCACCCCCTCCTTATGTCTATAAGTCACCACCACCACCATCGCCATCACCGCCACCTCCTTACATCTACAAATCACCTCCACCACCATCACCATCACCACCTCCTCCATATGTATACAAATCTCCTCCTCCACCTTCACCATCACCACCACCTCCTTATGTCTACAAGTCTCCTCCCCCACCATCTCCATCTCCTCCTCCTCCTTATGTGTATAAATCTCCCCCACCACCTTCACCTTCTCCACCACCTCCTTATGTATATAAGTCTCCACCACCACCATCGCCATCGCCACCTCCTCCATATGTATACAAGTCTCCACCTCCACCATCACCATCTCCACCACCCCCATATGTATACAAATCTCCACCTCCACCATCGCCATCTCCTCCACCTCCATATGTTTATAAGTCTCCACCACCACCATCTCCTTCACCACCTCCTCCTTATGTCTACAAGTCTCCCCCACCACCATCACCTTCACCACCACCTCCTTATGTTTATAAATCTCCTCCACCTCCATCGCCATCACCACCGCCTCCTTATTTCTACAAGTCTCCTCCACCACCCTCTAAATCACCCCCAGAACCTTATTACTACGAATCTCCACCACCACCAACAACTGTCTACTAGTTGAAGTAACAACACTGATTGGTTATCAATTATGTAAGAGAACATTGGATTCATTGTCTTTTCAAGATTATTTTATTTACGAGCATTCCCTTTGACTATTTTTTATTTTTTCTTTTTAGTATGCATTCTCACAAGTTTCTCAATTGCAGGTTCCTACCAGATTATTGAAATAATGAACACCAATTGAAGTTTGAGTTGGCCATTTCGATTAGGCAATAATGAGGATTGAAGAAGGATTTTCTTGAGATCCAAAGAAATATGCATACTACTGGAATTTATTAAACGATTTGGTCCTTGAGGCCATATGAATGTTTTTATTTTGATGGCTCTATTGGGCCACACTTTCATTCTCAATAAACTGGTTGTATTATTTTTTTATTAATGCATTTGGTTCTCTTATATGTGTGAATTTCTAAGTTCGATATTTTAAGGTTTATCTAGACAAAAATCGTATAAAATGAATTATTCTACTCTATAAAGGGCATTAGTGTGGTTGGGCTCTGTAGAATTTCAATCATTCACTTTATTTCAACCAAAAAATAAAAAAGAAAAAAAGGCAAAAACGAAGAAAATGAGGAATCCTGAATCGATCACCTCAGTATTGGAGAATGTAATCAAAATTATTTCAAAACTCAAAAGCATATGTCATATCAAGGTTCCTAATACCCCAATATTCTCAATCTCTCTAAAGGTAAGCCCTCAACTTTGCTCTCACTTCTGATTCAGATGCCTTTAACCTTCCCATTATTATTTGTTGTTCCGCAGGAGAAAACCCATCTAGTTTCAGGATATCAAAAGCAACTCGTGCCCATACATGAGCAACTCGTGCCCATACATTTTAAATTCCTAATGTACATGAGCAAAATTTATATTGCCGATAAAGGATTATTATGACCATGTTGTTTTTCTTGGTACTTCTACATGAGTTTTAATGATATTTGATATCTAGTCCTCATGTATGATTTATTGCGCGGGGGTCTTATTTTGAACTAGCTGATACATTGTGGCTGGCAATCCTCACAGTATAAACTTTAAGCAGGGTATGGAAAGAACACCTATTTGAATTGTGAATTGCTAATTAGGGTCTGGTTTGGTAGGTACTCAGGCCGATTCCCATATGGTTTCGAAAAATTTATTTGGTATTCATATAATCACTCGGTTCTGTTCAAGAATTTGATGATTCGGCGTGTTGGGTCAGTGATCTGGACTTATAGTTCTCTGAGGATCATTTGTGATGTAATATTTAAAAAATTTAAATTATATGAGTTTTTTTTTTTTCTTGCTGGTTATATTTATTTCATTTTTTTCTTGCTGGTTATATAAATATCAACGAGGTTCAACATATGCATCAAATTGCTTTATTCACCTAGAGAAACTTGTTATTTTAGAAAAGGAAAAACGGTGATTGATATTTTTACAAGGCTCTCTCCCACTAAATAATCTTCTCTTCAATTTTTCCTTTTCGTTATTTCCTGCCGATAACTTTAAAAACTATTTTGCAAACAGGAAACGATTTTGTCGTTGAGTCTTATTGGGTGTTAATTTTTTTTTGTAAACAAATCGCATGGAAACAGGAGACTGATTTATTCTGTGGCCATTTTTTTTTAATCTTTTTGGCATATTTTTCTATGCGGCATACAATTCTTGACGGGGCAGTCCTCATATAAATTAAGCACTTTAAAGAAATACATATTTCTACCCCCATAGGTAAATATTAGAGGATCTCTATTTTATCTTTATTTAATGCTTAGAGCACCTCCATCCCAACGGTGCTAATTTGATGGGTAAAGTGACTAATATTTTGTATATATATTGTTGTTGTTGTTGATCATTCTATCATTGTGCACCGTCTATAAATTTTGTCTTTAGAGTTGGACACTCCTGATTACATTAGTCATTATTTCAATAAAGTACTAAGTGTTGTGTTGGCTATAAGAAAATTGTTTATACAGCCTCCAAAAACAGACACCAGCTCACATAGCTGATAATTAAAGATATGACCCGTATTTCAAAGTAACCAATGGTACTCAATTTTAGAATTCATTGCAAAATTGGTAGCCATAACTTTAACAGGAAATCTTCATTGCAATAACTAAAAAATTCATTGTTTTTTCTATTAGGATTGCATATACACAATTAATGAAACACATATCCCAGTGTGGCTTAAGAGCCATATGCCTAGACAATTTCATAATAGAAAGGGTGTATTATCCCAAAATGTGATAGCTGCAGTGGGCTTCAATTTGCAATTCCAGTATATACTTGCTAGATAGGAAGGATCTGCATCGGACTCCAAACCCTTATACGATGCTTTGGAAAGGGAGACCAATCGATTAAAAATGCCTGAAGGTAGCTCAATTTTGTAACTTTTATGTATTGCAGGATAGTATTTAAGTAAGGGAGTGGTTTGTATAGAGCCTAGGCCCTAAACAATCAAATTAGAGTCTACTTTCGAATAGTATCGAGAAATATCGTTAAATTATTGGAAATTTTTGCGATGGCTTTAAAATATATTTTTATATTTATTTATAAAGTTTAAAGCTTCAAAAATAGTGTAGATCGATTGATCTATGAAAACTTGAAAATCTTGAAAATTGACCGTCGAAAAATGCGTTACAAAATACACTGTTTCCAAAACTTGAAATCCATTTTGTTCTCATGTTTACGCATCTTGATGTCGAGATGATCAATTTAAACATATTTGGGCATCAAAACAACATCTTCTAGTGAAATTTTTGAGGTAGGCTCAAATTTGATTGTTTAGCGCCTCAGCTCTATATAAACTTTTCCGTTTAAGTAATTGACCATTTTTGTCTAACTTATACATGAAAATATGAAAATATTATATTGTGGATGGGGGCTATCCGACCATGTGGGATCCATTAGCAACTCAAAGCAATGAGGACCATGTCGAAGGAGGACAACTGCGAGAAGAAATTGCATCCCAATTGTGGCACGACCATGTCAATCATTAAAAAAAAAAAGTTTATATGTAAAGAAAAGTCTCTTATTATTTTTGTAGCCTAAAGAACTATACATTGGTAATATGGTACCTTCATTGCGCATTTGATTAATGATTGACGACAAATTATTTTGTAGAATGGTTTACCATGGAATTTGGGATATTCAATCCACATGTTGTTCTTAATTTAGAATATATGATTCAGGAAATTAATATTGATATTAACAATTGAAGCAAATCTTTCCTCATACTTTACTCCAAGCTCTCATGTATGTACTGCAGTTCCTTCTCTCTAAAGCCTAAACAAATCCAACTTGATGCATATAACCTTAACTTACAAATCCAATTGATCCTAAGAAATGTATTTCGTATATAAGGAGCTTGGACAGAAGAGGTTTTTCTGGACAGACTTAATTAGGAAACATAAATAATAGCATAATGAAATCGCTATAAAACCATTATTAACCTACAAATCCATTGTTCTTGCTTCATCTATTACGGATGACCTATTAGATTTTTGTTAAAAAATAGTATAATGAAATCGCTATAAAATCGTTATTAACTTACAAATCCATTCTTCTTGCTTGATCTATTATGGATGACCTATTAGATTTTTGTTAAAAAATCAATATTACCCCCAAAATATCCGTTAGTACCAAAATACGTAAATATGTCCGTTTTAGTTTTAGTTATTACCAAAATACATAAATATGTCCGTTTTAGTTTTCGCTATTACCAAAACGTGTAAATATGTCCATTTTCAGTAGGGTTTGTTTTCTCGGTTTTTAAAAAACCGGATAAATAAAAAAATTCGGTTTTTGAAAAACCAAAATTTTAAAGTTTTCGATTCTTGAAAAACCAAAATTTTAAAGTTTTCGATTCTTGAAAAACCAAAATTTTAAAATTTTCAGCTTTTCAAAAACCGAAAATGGGTAGTTTTGTTTTTTTTTAAAAAAAAAGTTGTTATGAAGTCCAAAAAAGGACATATGAGTAATAATAAAAAGTATTCCGTATTTTGGTAATGATGGAAATTAAAACAGATATTTACGTAATTTTTCAAAAAATCAATATTACCCCAAATAGGAATTCTTCATGTATGGATTAAATTAGTTAATTATTAGGTCTCCAGGTTTGATAATAATAATAATAGTAAGAATAATAATAATAATAATAATAATACTAATAATAATAAGAAAGGGTATAGATGGAGACAATACTCATAGAAAGGTCTTTCACACAAGAGGAGTAAGTGTATAATGATATCCCGAGGGAGCATGCTCTAAACTCTTATTTTCTTTTGGTTGGAGGGCAGGGCTCGCATAATGCATTTTCCTTTTGTTTCCGGTGGCTCGGCTGGCAATGAACTTTGTAGTGAGCGATCCATATTGAGTAGGAACATGAAGTTGAAATTAAAATGATATCGACTAAGAATCATTAATTAGATATTGATTAATAATACAATATACCAATTTTAAAATCAATAATGCCTTGTTTAGTCCTAAACTTCTTCCAAAAAATATTTGCCCCTCAAGTTTCTTGGCATGCTCATTTCATGTTGGATGTATTAGGTGTACCTTGTACATGTTTGATGTATATTAAACATGGATGAAATTTCTAGAGGGTCTAGGCTTTATGAAAAGAAAATAAAACCTCACCTCAAATCCTCACATGAAAAGAACTTTCGACATCGTAAATGTTCATGATATCTCTAAAATTAATTTTCAACATTGACAATAAAATTTGAAACTAAAAAAATATATAGATCTCGATGATCTGTGAACACTTATTTTTAAATTTGAAACTAAAAAAATATACTGATTTTGATGATATGTGAATACTTGTTTTTAAGGCGAAATGGATAGTCGAGGTGATTTGTTGTAATATACACCATTTTTAAAATGTGAAATCCTAACTTTTTTGCACAACCATAATGGTCAAGCAAAGAAGATTGATTAAAGGTTTTTCAACACTTGAATTACAATTTTCTTATGAGTTATGAAGTGAGGCTTTACTTATTTTGATCGGGATGCATACTATCGAACCATTTTCGGTTAAAACATTTCTTTAGAAAAGTAAGTTTTTCATGCCTTGCGCAAATGATTCTTGATGCTCAAATTGTCAAAGGATTTCATGCTTCCCAGGGAGTATATTGTCCATTGACTCCACTGGGAAAACATAGTCTAGGAATATTTTTAGGACCCCAAATTTTTGGGATGTAGCATGATCAACCCATACGCAATAAAAGTAGGTGAATAAGAAGTGAGAGCAAAATATAACATTGTCAACCCTATGGAAAATAATAAAACATATATACTCACTTCATATTCATATGCCTTTAAACATAGTTTCATCTAGCTCAAACTGCTTTCACCAGTGTAGCCAATAATTATGGGTGCATATAGTTTGCTCCTCCTGGAACATACTGTACTCTAGTATA